CCCGCAGGTACGCCCAGCTTTATTATTGTTCAAAAGCTTATACTCCTAAAAAATGAGATAAAGCAGTGGTGCAAAATTGAGGGCAAGAAGAACGAGCAGCAAATGAGCTTCTTGATGAAGGAATTAAACAGCCTAGATGAGAAAGAAAAAATTGGCAACTGGGTCTTTCAGAGAGACTTTAAAAGGAAAAATTGGCGCTTTTCTACAAATAGAGGATGCCATTTGGAGGCAAAAATCTAGAGAACAATGGACTAAGGAAGGGGGACAGAAATACTAAATACTTCTACTACCTTGTTAGCCACCATAGAAGAAATAACTTTATTAGCTCTTTGAGGTTTGGAAACATTCTGATTGAAGGTAATCAAGAGCTGAGGGACAAAGCTAGAAAATATTTTACTGAGCTATTTACAGAACCAATGAATTTGAGACCTATTCTGAATGGGTTGTCCTTCAACAGCCTTGATAGTGAGAGAAGCCTGGAATTGGAAAAGTCTTTCACGGAAGATGAGATTTTTAAGGGACTGAAAGATTGCAACAGAGATAAAGTACCTGGGCCGGACGGGTTTCCTATGGGTTTTCTATAAGATTTCTGACCGGTGATAAAAACTGATGTGATGAAAATGCTTGATGACTTCCACAGAACTCGCAAATTCGTTAAATCAATAAACTCCACCTTCATCGCTCTCATCCCGAAAGTAAGTTGGGTCACCACAATCAAAGACTATAGACCTATTAGTCTAGTTGGGACCATATATAAATTAATTGTTAAAGTCCTAACAAGAAGGATGGCAACGGTATTGGACAGCATCATTGGCAGTCCTCAACAGGCTTTTCTTGGTGGTAGACAAATTTTGGATGTTGCACTTATAGCCAATGAATTAGTTGATGAGATTATTAACAAGAAAAAGAATGGGGTGTTGTGCAAACTAGATATGGAGAAAGCCTACGATAATGTAAATTGGGCTTTTGTTGATTATATGCTCATGAGGCTTGGATTCAGAACTAGATGGAGGAAATGGATCACCACTTGCATTAAATCAGTGTCATACGCAGTCATCGTCGATGGCGGTCCATCAAAGTTTTTTCGCTCCACAAAGTGATTGAGACAAGATGATCCCCTATCACCTTTCCTGTTTATCGTGGTGATGGAAGCTCTTAACAGAATAATCACAAAGGCCAGAGAGCACAATCTATTTCAGGGGCTATTGGTGGGAAAAGGTAACCGCAGAGAAGAAGTAACACACTTATTTTTTGCAGACGATGTTCTGTTATTCTGTAAACCTAATCTGAAAGCTCTAATGAACATTAGATGCAATTTAATGGGGTTCCAAGCGGTCTCTGGTTTGAAGATCAATTTGTCCAAGTCAGAATTTATTGGGTTAGGTGCAGTGGGGGATCAAGTACAGCTGGCTAAGACCTTGGGCTGCAAGAAGTCTACTCTTCCATTAAAATATCTTGGCTTACCGTTGGGGACAAACTATAAGAATCGTGGGACTTGGGATTCAATGGTCAGTAGAGTTGAAAGAAGGTTAGCTGGTTGGAAGAGGAGTCTTCTCTCTAAAGAGGGTCGATTCACACTCGAGAAGAGCACATTGAACAATTTGCCAATCTACTATCTCTCCCTATTGTCTATTCCATGTAGTGTGGCTAAGAGATTGGAATCTCTTCAAAGCAATTTTCTGTGGAGGGAATAAGGATGATAGCAGAAAATTTCATCTTATTGTATGGAATGAGTTGAAAAAACTCATGTAGAATGGCGGCCTTGGAATTCAATCTCTACTGGAGATGAATAATGCTTTGCAAGGAAAATGGTTACGGCTACATCACTGAGGAGCACGCTTTGTGGAGGAGAGTTATACCTTCAAAATATGGTCTCGATGAGATGAGTTGGGTGCCATCTAGTAAACTTAAATTTCACATAAAAGGCCTATGGAAAAGCTTATGGGATGGAAAAGATAATTTTGTTAAACAGATTAGATGGAAAGTGGGGTGTAGCAAGATCAGATCCTGGGAAGATGCTTGATTGGAGGGGGGCCCACTCAGAGACAGATTTCCTGTTTTTTTTTATATAATTGCAAACAAGGATGTCCGGGTGCAGGATTGTTTCAGTAGCAGCCGGAATGGTGAGGGGTCTTGGCAAGTGGTGTTAACTAGAAACTTAAATGATTGGAAGATTATTGAATATGAAGATTTGCTGAGAAGGTTGTCTGAGATCATATTAGGCAACAAGGAAAAACTTGAATGGAGACTCAACAAAAATGGTTTCTTCTCTGTCAAATCATGGAATAAGAGTCTTATGCAGGTTTCTCTCTTTCAGTTTCATAGGGCAGATGAATTGCCGCCTTTCACTTACAAATTGATTTGGAAGATCCAGGTACCCCCAAGGATTTCTTTTTTCGCTTAGGGAACTTGCAGAGAGTGTATTTTGACCATTGATAAACTTAAAAAAAGAGGTTTAATTTTGGTTAACGTCTGCTACCTATGCAAACAGGCAAAGGAATGTTGTCGTCATCTTCTGTGACAGTGCCCTGTTGTCTCCAAATTATGGTGCACGGTCTACTCTCGTTTGGGTACTAATTGGGTTTGCTCGGGTTATGTTAAAGATGAGATCTGGGCTTGGAAGTACCTCAATGGCCACTGCATTCTAGCCGATTTAATCCCTATTACACTTATGTGGTCTGTATGGAAAGTGAGGAATTGTAAAGCTTTTGAGGGTTTTGGTGACACTGTGGGTTTTGATGTTTTGAAGAATAGATAGCTTTGTACCCTCGATTTTTTGCTTACGGGTTATCCTCCAGTTTATCTTGAGTCTTTCAGGAAGATTTTTGTTATGGAGTACTAAACTGTAAATAACTTGCACATGTTTCTCTTTTTTCTGCACTTGTAGTGCTTATAACAATATAATCTTACTACTTTTCATTCTTGTTAGGACCGCGTCCATTCCGACTGGATAATAAATGGATGAGGGTGATGGATTTCAAGCAACTGGTTGAAAATGAGTGGCACTTGAATTCTGTTAGGGGTACGGCCAGCTTGGTGTTTGCTTCCAGACTAAAGGCACTTAAAAATGAAATAAAAAGGTGGGCTAAGGAGGAAGAAGGAAATATGGGTAGATTGATTGATAACAACATGAGGGAGCTGGCTGAAATGGATAGCAGAGAGATGGAGGGACTGTTTGGGACGAAGGATAGGGAAAGAAGGGCTGTATTGAAGACTGAAATTGCTGCCAATATGAATCTGGAAGCTATTTCTGGAGGCAAAACGTTAGGGAAAAATGGTTGAATGAGTGAGATAGAAATACCAAGCACTTCCATAGTTTGACTAATCTCTGAAGGAAAAATAATTATGTAGAGGAGATGGTATTTGAGGGGAAAGTAGTGAAAAGGAATGATAACCTAGGGGAGAAAGCGCTTTTATATTTCCAGAAACTTTATACGGAAGAGGAGGAGAGAAGACTGTTTGGGAGAGTGCAATAGTGATAAGGCTCCGGGTCCCAATGGCTTCAATATGAAATTTTACCAAGATTTTTGGAAGATCATAAAAGATGATATCATGGCTGTTTTTAGATAATTTCACAGAACTGGTACTTTCGTGCATCCCATTAACTCTACTTTCTTGGTAATCAAACCTAAAGTTGTTGGCGCCAAGAACATTAAAGATTTTAGGCCTATTAACCTTGTGGGCAGCATGTACAAATTAATCTCTAAAGTTTTGACTAAAAGAATGTCCAAGGTTATGGGGGAGATTATAGAAGAGAATCAAAATGCTTTTGTTGAAAGGCGGCAAATTCTTGATGCGGTCATGGTTGCTAATGAAGTGGTTGATGACTTGGTGGGGCAGAAAAAAGAGGGTATTATTTGCAAAATTGATATGGAAAAAGGTTATGATAGAGTGTGTTGGGATTTTGTACTCTACATGTTGGAGCGGATGGGGTTCGGGAGAAGATGAAGAAATTGGATGAAGACATGTATCTCTACCACCTCTTTTGCCATGATAGTCAATGGAGGGCCCTCTTCTTTCTTTAAAGCCTCTAGAGGTCTTCGTCAAGGGAATTCCTTATCTCCCTTGCTTTTCCTGACGGTGATGGAAGCATTTAGTAGACTCATGGAGATAGGAGGGACGAGAGAGATTTGGCTAGTGTGTTGGGTTGTAAGATTACCAAGCTACCCATTAAATATCTTGGTCTTCCTCTAGGTGCAAAATTTAAAGAGACCAAAACTTGGGACCCCATTGTGGATATGTTTGAAAAGAGACTTGCAAGGTGGAAGAAGAACTTTCTTTCTAAATTGGGGAGACTCACATTGATCAAGAGTACCTTAACAAATTTGCCAATCTACTACCTCTCCATTTTAGCTATTCCGGCCAGCATCGACACTAAGCTTGAGAGATACATGCAGATTTCTTTGGGGTGATGAGAGGGA